AAAAGTGTTAAGGGACAATTTTGTTAGTGTGCTCATATAAAATAATGCATTTTATATATCAAATGTTGCACTTTATAATTCAACACGTTGCACTTTATGAAACACCACATTGTACTTTATCATCACAATCCACAATTAACGTCCGCAACTCCTGCCGAAATACCAAACAACAAAAAATCTAAAAAATGGATATACATTTTACGTTAACATCGCTCACATCATTTATATACCCAAACACACAAATATGCTAGTGTACCACAATTACATTAGCTCACTATATACATCAACACGTTGCACTTTATAAAACAAGACGTTGCACTTTCCAGCACAACACTATGCACTTTATCACGACTATCAGATTGCACATTAGAGATCGAACCGGCCGGACTAAAAAAATTTCAACTAAAAATAGCATAAAAAAATAATAAATAAAATTATTAACATATTAAATGTAATTTAATATAAATAGCAAATTATAGAATTAGGTTCCATTGCAAATTGGTCATGAACTCAACACACTAATGAACAAACACTACTAATACACTTCATCTCATTGAATGATACACTTCATCTCATTGAATGATCATACATGACTAGTCTAAATTCGACCTATATGTTTTAAATTTAACTATTTTTCAACCAAATCATGTGTGAACGATCAACGTGACATGGTAGACATGAAGGATTACGGAAATCACGATTTGTAAAATGGCATCTATTTTTTAACAAATAGTACCAATAGTTCTTCGTACCAATAGTTCTTCTATGCAGCACCTGTTTTTAGTTAATTAGTACATACTTTGGTCAACGAAAATGGATTACTTTAATTTTGGTCAACATTATTGAAACTAGTACCAGCCCTAGAGTGAGATAGTACTCACTAAATGGTGTTCTAGTACCAAATATCGGGTCTTCAATACAAACTCTAACGAACATAATAAAAACACCGAATTTCGATCCTAAATGATGTTTATATGACTCAAAATCACTGGCACATTAGTTTCTATGAGATTTAGAATGTGTTTAATTAAGTTTCATCACAAATTGGTCATGAACTCAACACACTAATGAACAAACACTACTAATACACTTACTCATTAAATGATACACTTCATCTCATTGAATGATCATACATGACTACTCTAAATCCTACCTATATGTTTTAAGTTCGACTATTTTTCAACCAAATCATGCGTGAACGATCCACATGACATGGGAGACATGACGGATTAAAGAAATCACTATTAGTAAAATGGTACCAGTTTTACAACAAATAGTACCAATAGTTCTTCTACGCAGTACCTGTATTTTATCAATCAGTACATACTTTGGTCAATAAAAATGGATTATTTCAATTTTGGTCAATATTTGCAAAATTAGTGCTAACCCTAGAGTTAGATAGTACACACTAAATAGTGATATGGTACCAAATATCAGGTCTTCAATACCAACTCCAACAAACATAAAAAATAATACCAAATTTCGGTTTTAAATGATGTTTATATGATTCAAAAACACTCACACATTAGTTTCTATGAGATTCAGAATGTGTTTAATTATGTTTCGTCGCAAATTGGTTATGAACTCAGCACGCTAATGAACGAACTACTAATACACTTCATCTCATTGAATAATCATACATAACTAGTCTAAATACCACCTATATTTTTAAATTCCTCTACTTTTCAACCAAATCATGCTTGAACGATTCATGTGACATGGTAGACGGATGGATTAAAAAATTCACGATTAGTAAAATGGTACCTGTTTTCTTACAAATAGTACCAATAATGTGGTATTCAATACCTATTTTTAATCAATTAGTACCTACTTTGGTCAACCGTTATATCAATTACTTTAATTTTGATCAATGTTTGTAAAACCAATCCTAGAGTTAGACAGTACCCATTAAAAAGTGGTTTAGTACCCAATATCGCGTCTTCAGTACCAATTCCAACGAATATAAAAAAACACCGAATTTCAGTCTTAAATAATATTATTCAAAATCACTTATTCACTAGTTTCTATGAGTTTTTGAATGAGTTTAATTACTTTTCCTCGACAAGTGATCATGAACTCAATAGAGTTTTAATTTAAAAATTAAGAAATATTTTAGTTTTATTATTAGGTAATTTTCATTTTACGGAAACAAATTTGTCTATTAATTTTATGGAAACAAATTTGTCTATTAATTATTTTGTGGAAAAAAATTTGTCTATTAAGAAATAAAGATCATCCCTTAAAATATACCACAACCGCAACATTCCATATTTATTGCAATTAAATCACTTAGGCGAAACATTCCATATATAAAATTGATAAACATGATATATCACACATTAAGTTGGTTTATATCCTATTATAGTAGTTATTTGTTTCTTTTAAAAAAAAATAAATGATTTGCTTATTTTTCAACAAATAAATATTTGAAATTTTAGCTCTTCTTGACGCACGCGGTTTCACAATAAATAATGTAATCTTGCCTTAACAACCATTTATATTGAAATTGTATTCCTTTTAGTGTTTTGAAATGTTTATAACTTAATTCTCGCGTTTTGGTTCTTATACTATGTAGCGTAAATAGAAATTCGTGTTGCGTAAGCTATTACAGTATAAAATGTGGTCGTTAGAAATATTAAAATATTTGCATATAATAAAATTGGGTGGTTAATTTAAAAGGGTAAAAAACTTTTTCCCATCTGAACTATTACGATTTTGGCGCATCACTATATGAACTTNCTGCCGGCTAGCCCCACACAATAGACCACCGACAGAGAGCATCATCGTCGTAGTGCGACCGTCGACATGTACGGAGCACTCGTCTACGCTCGGAGCATTCGTCTATGCACGGGAGCAATCTTTGCCTTCTTCATGGTCATCGGAGACATGCTCAGCTACACCACTAGAGCCACCGGCGGTGCCTCCCATTCGTAGCGAAAACCGATGCATGCGACAAGAGCTACGTGCACATGAAGGTGTGGGTCATTCTGCAATTCGGGATCATCGTGGGCTCCGTGGCGGGCCTCGTTAGGGAGGAACCACTCGAGCCATTTGACTCGACAGTGTCCGTGAGACTTCCAATCACCATACGAGTGTGCATAGAAAAATCTCACCCCATGCGACACTTCCAGTCCCACATCCCTCAGCCTCTCGAGCTCGTGGTTAGGATCACCGAGTCAAGATCAGACATGTCCCTCCTCAGTTCACAACACTTCAAAACCAGTTTGGCAAGTGAGAGGGTCACCTTGACTTGCTAGTCCCCAACCATGCAGTCGAACACATCTGCAGCGATCTCAACATGGTGCGAGAGGCCCCTGGCTGGCCGGGCCGTAAGGATTTGCAGCAACATGACCCCGAACGAGTAAATGTTGGATTTGGTCCCAAGCATGCCCGAAGGTAGGCTGCGGTTGCGTATAGCCGGGCTACTCACCAGACGATGGACTGGTTGACGGCTAGCGTGTTGAACGCTGAACCGCTGCTACCTAATTGGACGCCGGAGGTGGCTGTGCGAGATCTTTAGCCATTTTTCTCCTCGCGTTCAACCATTTTTTCTCGCTGAACCTGACCGTTCATTTTTATATATTTTTTTTTTCGTTCAGCCATTTTTTTCCATTCATGGTGCGATAGCAGAGGCCATTTTTTCCACGTTCATGGTGCGATAGTTGGCCGAGCCGTGAAAAATGAAAATGAATTCTCGTTCAGTCATTGACTTCTTTTTGTAGACCGATTTTTTCATTTCATGTTCATGGTGCGAGAGACCCATTCTTTTTGTCGTTCATTTTTCATTTTTCTTTTCTTTCTTGAAAATATTATGAAATTACGAGAATACCTTCAAAAATCAGCTATTTTTAATCAAAACCACTTTTATTTCTAGTTTAGGGGTGTTGTTGTATGAAATTTAACAACTCAAATAAACAAAAGTAAGGTGTGATTAAAGAAAAGCAACCTAATTTTTTGTATTATTGTTATTTTTTCGATAGTACAGGAAGTCGGTTTTTGTGTATAACCGAGTTATTTTTTTCGTCCGTGTACAATGTGCGTAAAAAGATCCTCGTATAATCATAAATTCTGGTATTTATAGTGCGGCGGATTTGACTTTTCATACGAGGTAGATCAGATCGCATTTAATGTCGAGCTGCTTCAATTAAGTAGTCTGTAAAGCAATGAGGGGACAACACTGATTACTTTTTGGTTAGGTAGTCCAATCGGGAGTGTGTTTTGTCACCTGCCTTGGGATCCATTCATCTCGGATCTTGGTTTGAATAGATAATGTCCAGAAAAGAATGTTCGCGAAGTCGGTTTATTTGTCTTTTATGTGAAGTTGGTCGTCATCCAAATATACGAGGTCGGTCATCGTTCATCTGTACCGAGCTGGGTTAACTTAGCCACCGAAAGTAAATACGAAGAATTTTATTATTAAATTTCCCTTTAATCTTCAAAAATCAAGTCGGTTGTCAACAAAGAGGCCCCCCGACATTAGTAGGTATTTTGAGTAGGAATGGCTACTGATGTTGTCAATATTTTTAGTAAATCCAACTTGATCTTGTTCCGATGTGTCTGTGTTAACTGACTTCTTCCTTTGTAACCGACATGCGAACACTTTGATGTATATTTGAGCTCTTACTGATAAATGGGGCAATATAACGGCTCCGTAGACGTGGCAATTCTTAAAAGACGTGTCTGCATTTAATGAATGCAACAGACAGAAATAATAGAGCGACATGGCGTTTCTGGATTGGCCCACTTTTATAAATAGTAATCATAACGTTACATCGTTTGAGGACACGCCCGTTATACGCGTCGATTTCCAATTGTGTAACAGTTATAATCTGCAGATTATAAATTTGGGTCAGTTTCAATTGTGAAGAGTTTCTCGTCTTTAATTTCTGAATTCTTCATCTTCTGCTTTGTCTTGTCTTTAAAGTCTTTGAACTTCTTTCTAGTAATCATCCTCTCAATCAACCTTCTCATCTTTTCAAGTTTAGGGTATCGAGGTATTCGATAAGATTTTGCCCTAATTTTCGATTTTCTGTTCTTGTCAATTGAAATTTTCTCGTTCCTTTTTGTTTGAGAGAAATGGATTCGCAAGCCGAATCTAGCAGCAGCCATACGATTTCCGATGTCAGAATTTTCACCGATGAGGATTTAGAATTGCCTCTTGAGTATTATCGGTGGGATCTTGTGCTCGTTGAAAGGCTTAATATAAACAGGGATATTATTGAGGAGGATCGAATTGTGGAGAGAGATGCTCTATCATTGGCTGAGTATTGGAGACATCTAGCACGTCGGTGGCCCGAAGCTATTGATGAAAATTGAGGCGAACCGAGTATTTTAATCGATGCTGACGTAGTGCTCCTTCGAGAATAAGTCCAAGTTCCTTCGACTGTAAGGCTATTTGCTCCTTACCCGGGGGAAATGATTGCATGTCCTCCACCGGGATGTGTTGGCGTGTTCATTGATTCCTTGAGGTCGGGGTTGAGATTTCCACTTCCTGAATTGATTACGGATTACTTGCATGATTGGGGCCTTGGTTTGTGCCAAATTGCACTAAATAGTTGGAAGAGGATTATTGGACTCATGGTCCTTCTAAAGGAGAAAAATGTTGGGATCTGTGAGGATCTCGTTATGTACAAATCACGAATTCAATAGCAAACGTAAACCTATGCGCAGCGGATCTAAAGGTTTGACGTAGAGAACTTACGGCTTAAAATTTATGTAGATCTGGTTGACCACGAACGGTTGACCGCAATTGATTGACCGCAACACGCGTCTTGGGTTGCACGAACAAGATCAGATCAAAACTGGATCAAACGGATGCAAACAGATCAAAACGAAATTTTGCTGCCAGACACCTTCCGGCGGCGCGTGAGGGCGCGTGCGGCGTCGGATTCCGGCGACGTCGGCGGCGATGGAAAGCTCTCGTCGAGACGGTCGTCTGGGTATACTGTACGTCTCAATCGGACTTCCGGTTAGTTCTGTAGGTCAAAATCAATTTCGTCTCGGTTTACCTACAGATCTTCTACTGTATTACTCAATACACCCTTCTTCAACTTGTACCAGTGGAGCAACAAGAAGAAGATAAAGCTCGAATGAGATCTAGAGAGAGAGATGGTTTCACGTGAGAATGAGACTTCTATTCTCTTCTCATGAGCTTAATGATGTATATATAGAGCTACAGTAGGGACCCTAAGGAGATTAGGAAAAGGGCTCCTTAATTAATTAGACTAACTGTGGGCCAAACCCACTCCTCTAATTAATTAAATAATATTAATGGGCCACCAACATTATATTATTGCACTCCCTTTCCCTAGCCCAAATTACATTTGAGACTCCAATAATAATTACTCGATTTACCTCCCCACGTTTAAGATATAATGTCCATTAATTAATTCGATTACTGACAATCAAGAATTAATTAATTTATTATTATTTCACCGAAGCTAGCGCTCGTTCATCACATTCTTATTATGCCGGAATTTAATCCACCTGCAGGGTTTAGCATAACAATCCTTCATGAACTCACTCCGGGGACATCATCAAACTAACGCACATGGTGACCGTAAATATCCTAACAGCACATCCTATATATAATAATATTACCCAAAACAGTAGGAATATTAATCCAGCGAACTGAACCTCACCCATGTGAATCAAAGTAATATATATTATATATATCTGCCTGTTTAATATCTTACGGGTTAAGAGAACGCAGTAATTAACCGAGGCCTAGTTCATTTACGACGATCAGTATAAAATGAACTTCTCCTCTCTGGGATCCTGTTCAATACATAAATGTACTAGTGCAACTAATCAGTCAAGACAAACTGTACAGTTGACACTACAACCGTTCGGATGGGGTGTTCATGTCCATCTAGGTTGTGAACAACTATTCTTGTTCGCAAGTGACTGATAGAGTGATCTTCGGTTCGCCCGATGACGACCCACCCTATCTAAGTGCAGAACAACAGAACGTAGAACTTGTTTAATCTAACATGATTCTCATTCATAAAGGGTAAATGTGTAATAACATGCAAAGCCAAGCTTTCAGTATATAACACTAACAATCTCCCACTTATACTTAAAGCTTTCGCTTTTACAGTATAGTCCTATCAATCCGTTATTCTAAAAGACCTATGTCGATCCTATCGCCATGCATCCTCTGATGCAATCTTGGCAACATCAACGTCTCCTCTACCAACGATATCCCGAATCAGATGGTATTTGCGCTCTATGTGTTTGCTTGCCCTGTGGGCTCGAGGTTCTTTTGAGTTCGCTACTGCTCCACTGTTATCACAGTACACGGTGATACCACGTGGCAAACTCGGTATAACCTCTAAGTCCACTAAGAAGTTCCTGAGCCAAACTGCCTCTTTCGCTGCCTCTGAGGCTGCTATGTACTCGGCTTCCATGGTGGAGTCTGCCACGCATTTCTGCTTAGCACTCCTCCATGAAATGGCTCCACTTCCCAAGGTAAACACATAACCTGAGGTTGACTTACTTTCATCCCTATCTGACTGGAAATCAGAATCACTGTAACCCAGAGGTAACAAGCTGTCTGCACGGTAAACTAACATGTACTCCTTAGTCCTTCTCAGGTACTTGAGTATATGCTTCACCGCAGACCAATGTTCCCGTCCTGGATTACTTTGATATCTAGCTACCATGCCAACGGCGTAGCTAATATCCGGCCTTGTGCATAGCATTGCATACATGAGACTTCCTACTGCCGAAGCATAAGGAACTGTCTTCATCTCCTCTATCTCCTTAGACGTCTTAGGAGACATCTCCTTAGATAAAGGTATTCCATGTCTAAAAGGTAACATACCTTTCTTGGAATCCTGCATGCTAAATCTGGCCAAGACAGTATCTATGTATGAAGACTGGGATAAGCACAACATTCTCTTCTTACGATCTCTAATGAGCCTAATACCAAGAATGTGTCCTGCTTCACCTAAGTCCTTCATATCAAACTGCTTAGACAACCACACCTTTACGTCTGATAACTCCTTCTTACTGTTTCCAATAAGCAGT